CACGCAAAAAGGATCCTTGCAACGCCCAAGAAAGCGACTACGGGAGAGTCGCACCCAGACAGAGAAGCTCATCCCAGCACGCTCGCCGTCTCAGGAGAATCCAGAGACGACGGAAAACCCAGCATCCGATCCTTCTGGTCCTTCGCCCAATGGCCGTTGTTCGTGTGATAAAGGATCATCTCCCTCTGGCAGGGAGCGAGCCAGTCCAAAAGCCACCACCGAAACGGACGAATGGAGTACAAGACGTCGCGATTCCCAGCTCAACATCCATGACCTCTCCTTCATCTTACACCCCTCTCACGAAGCCTCGACGCCCGAGAAGGAACAAAACGCTCCCCCTAGTAGAGGCGTCATCGACCAAGAGCCCGTTCTCATTGCAAGGGCTTGCTCCGCGTTGGGAGTGACCCAGGAGATTTTGAAACAAATGTGAATGGACCCGTCCCAAAACAGTTTCGACCTGACTGACCGGTTGGCAGGGTGAAGATATATTTTGACAACATGGTGGCCATCAATTTGTTTCACGAGCCCAGCTTTCGCGAAAAGGTCAATGGCATCGCGTCGACGGCACAAGTGCATGCCTTGCTGGCGGCATTGCTCGCATACGCCGCCCGATTCTACCCAGCGGAAAACAGCGACGGTACCGATCACGCCTTTGGAGACACGGCGGAAACGCATCTTCAAGCCGGGTACTTTTTGAATCTCGCCTTCAGCAACATTGATGACGCTCTGAAAGAATGTGGCGACGAAGGACCCCCGTTATGCGTCCTCCAAGCACTCATCGTCGCCACCCATTGCCAGCTCACGCAGGGCGTCCGCGGGAAGGCGTGGAGGTCGTTGGGAACATGCATCCGACTGGCGTACGAGCTGAATCTTCATCTCGTCGACGCCGGCAGCGGGAAGGATCTTCGAGACGTCGATGTGCAACAATGGTGTGATGATGAGGAGAAGCGTCGTGCCTGGTGGGCCATCTGGGAGATGGATGTGTTTGCTAGCACCATCCGACGGACGCCTCCGGCCGTGGACTGGTCGCAGATGGAGACCTTGCTTCCCGTCGAGGATCAAGACTGGTTTCAAAACAAGCCGCGGCCCAGTTGTTTTATGGAGCGAGATCCGATCTACCGGTGGAAAGCCCTCCAGGAATGCGGCAACCAGTCTCCGAAGGCATGGTTTCTGGTGGTCAATTCTCTCATGAAGGAGGCCCAAGTCATTTCCAGCCCGCGAAGTGTCCCTTACCGATATCCGCCAGACGAGAATCAGCCGCCCTGTGCGGCCAACCGGCGTCCGAAGCAAGCGAGGGACAGGGTCGAGGAAGCGACCCAGAAGCTGGAGACGCTGGCAAACTCGGTGCATTGCTTTACGCTAGCATTACCAGCACACCTGCAGTATCGCAACCAATACCTCAGTTTTGACGCCAGGGCTCCTGGTCAGATGCTGTCGCTTCGACAGCTTCACTGCTCCATTTACAACATCTACGTCATGACCCAACTAGCCAAGCTGATGATCTACCGGTATGACGTCTTTGGAGGCCGCAGTCCAACTGCCCGGCGGACACATGATTCCCTCAGCGCCGCAACGGCGAAAGCAAGCCCGGTCCCCCGGTCGAGCTCGGCGTCGAATGGGTATGATGCGGAGAACCTGGTACTGGCGCAGTACTTTGAAGCAGCGGACAACATTCTCACCATTATCAACCGGAGCAGTGATGGCCACATTCGGTATATCAACCCTTTCCTGTCCAGCACGATCTGGCTCGCATCCGCCGTCCAGTTGCTCCGGAAGGAATTCAGCCGGGATGAGATCAGCCGGACACTGATCAAGTCCAAATTTGAAGTCCTCTATATGACATACAAACGATGTGTCTCCTTCTGGGACATCCACACGGCTCTGCAGCAGAACCTGGAAGCACTGGAGACAAAATTGGAGGGCTTCCGGAACCCCGACCACGGCAGTCAGGAACAGCCGTCCGACAGTAGTGTTAAAATCAAGGGTCGACATGCCGGAGAGGATTCTCAGGCGCGATACGAACCATCGTATCTCCAGATGAATGGCGATCAGATGGATACCGGGACTGATATCGTCCACGGTGAGTCTTCCGAACAGACCGGATCCACTAACGTTAGGTACACTAACCCGTCTTTTGTGTCCATTCAAAAAGAAGCCAGCGTCACCGACGAAGCCAACTGTGGATACAGCAGTTCGGACGGCCCGCCGCCTCCTCCTCCTCCTCCTGCTGCTCTCCAGACGCCTCCGCCCAGCGTCAGCGACGATGGACCCCAGCCCCAAGGCAGGACTTCACACCAGCAGCCTCTCTCTGGTGCATTACAGAAGCCACCGCATGGGTCGCCGCCTGTCCAGAATTTCCCATCGGGGACACCAAACATGTCAATGCTCGACTATATGCATCTGCCCTCGCAAGTCGACAGGCAACCAACCCCGACGGGAGATAACAACACCAACAAACACAACCGTCCCAGTCCCGGGACCACACTGATCGATCCGTTATTTCTTCTGGATCCCACACCCCAGCCTCCTCGGGGGTTGTCGTTGTCGACTGATGGCGTTAATAGCACTTCCGACTTTGGACAACATCCCGATTGGCGGAACATCGAGCTGCCGAGTGATATTCATGACTTGCTGTCGGGGTTTTCCACCTATTGAGAATTTCTTTCACATGGTAAGAATTAATCATGTCTTGGTTCGGAGCAAGAGTGAATGAATCGGATGTATGTAATGAACTCGCCAGCAATGTAATGTAATGCAGCCGTTTCAAAGGAAAACCTTCGTTCTCTCTCTCTCTCTCTTCTTTTTCCTTTCCCTCTTTTTGTTTTTCTGTCTTTTATACATCAAATCACACAATGAAAATGGGCATAACTTCGATGATAAGATGCTTGTGCAGAAGAAAAAAAAAAGAATGAAGCGGAAGCAGCGGGGTTCATCATGATGCTCACCGAAGGAACTGACTAATCAGATTGACTGACAGTGATGAAATGCTACATCTATCTCCATTTTCTTTTTTTTTGTAAACGTGGAATACAAAACTCTGAACGAGAAAACAATGTTGAGCTAATGCACTCAGCTAAACCCTTTTCATTTATTTTATTTTAGTTTCATTTTTTTTTAAAGGAGACTCCTATCGGACATCAGGACTCATGTGTGCTGAACCACGGTTATTTACCAATACTGTCAGATAAATGCAGGCTGCTCTCTGATGTGAGATAATTGTCAGAGAGCATACAAACGGACTCCCGGCGCCCCGATGTGGTTGAGACTTCACCAGCAACTGCGTGTGATTCGACCAGGTTCATTCGAGACATCCCGGTATTGCAGTGTGGCTTGATAGGATTGCGGCAAGGCTTTGCGGGAACCTTAGCGGAAATGCATGGGTTTGCGGGACCGTCGACTTATATTGCGGTCAATAGAAATCACGCATTCATGGCGTTCGGAGTCGCCGCGCGGCAAATTTCTGTTGGTCGGCAGGCTTACGAGCAATATACTGTTGTGATCAGCAAACCTTCATGAACTATCCTAAGGCTCACCGGTCCTCTACTTCTAGGCACTCCTCAGGTCGTTTGGAGGCCGCCCTGTCGTCAGCAAGAAACATTTCGCGGGATTAAGTGATGCCATCAATTGGATAGCAAGGAACATTCCTTATACTATCTTTCTCTTAATATGCCCCTCTCTTATAGCTATTTACTTTAGTATAAGTAAGTCTATCTACCTTTGTCTTTGGCATTTTAGAAAATTTTAACCACTAATCTACAGCAGGAAAAAAAAAATAAGTAAAGAGAAAAGAAAAAATAAGAAAAAAATAAAAAAAATCTATAAAGATAGGCATAGAAATATAGAAAGATTTCTATAGGATTATTAACAGGTATAGAAAGGGAGGAAAGGGAGAGGAAACAAAAGGCTCAAAAGAATAGAGGAGAAATAGGGTCATAGGATATAATTTTTCCTATTATCCTTTTCTCTGGGGTTAGCAGGGGATAGTATACTACTACCTCTATTAACTAATCTCTTCTCTGCATGGTTCCTGGGTTAGATGTTGCTAAACAGCCAGTGCAAGTATAAGGGAAGGATAGGTGAAGATGGGGTGAGTATAAATAAGCTTAGGAAAGCAAATCACCTTAACTGGGTGAGTTGATCACCTGACTCACCCAGCTCACCCACTTAAAGCAGCGATGTCCGAGTGAGGAAGGAAAGAGCTGCTTGCAGATTTTTATATGATATTTTGACCTACCTAGATGGATATAAATGAATAATTACCCAATCCGGTATGTACCACACTTATGTACTGTGCATACATATGTATGAGAAATAGGCGAATTAATTCCCTGTGCATATGCATACGCACATGCCCATGGCTCTGCAGATCTTTTAAAAACATTGTTAATAATAAGAACAGTAAGGTCGATAACATAAGTCCAGTCATTTATATTATATTATTATTGATTTCCAACTCACCGCTGGAGGAGCTCCTTTTTTATTTTTACTTCCTCTCTCTTTTCAAGGGAAAAGTCATTACTTCTGAATACATATTATCATAGGTTATGATGATGATTGATTGTTTCTTCAGTGTGTAAGAGATTTGATTGAGTTGTGTGTGTATAATGCAAACCTAACTAATTATTAATCCTGTGCATAATGACAATGCCATAATGCAAACATGTCATCGCGTAAGTGTCTATCTACCTAGCATAACTAATAATATATATATACAATCTGCAGACTTATCTCTGTCTAATTCCAACCTATGTGATAAACTAGCTAACTGACTTCCTGACTAATTAATCAAGTACTCTACTCAACCCTAACCAGAACAAAAAAGCGAATCCAATCCCCCTCCTGAACATCATCGATCGCGGGACGACTATCAAAAAAAAACGCTTCGTGATCATGAGGTGTTGGCGGGGGTGTTCTGGCCATCCACTTCTACTTCTAATACCACTGTGAAAGTATTAGATACGACATCTACGACGACTACTTTTTCTGTCCAGCAGCAAAATTTCTTCTTCAAAGCAGCATTCACCAACGAGGACGACCACAGCGACGGAGTGACCTACTCCGAGGAGTTGCCGTTGGGATTCAAGATCGTTATTAGATGGAGGGTTGTTGTGTGTGACAACAACAATAGTAATAACGACAGCGACGAGGTCAGTAGTAGACAGGGGCTTCTCGTAGAAGAAGAATCCTCCGTCGTTGCGCCGAAGCCTGTTTCGCGGTTTCTACACTTCAAGAATGATGGGGATGGGGAGATGAATCCGAAGACGAGGGTGTTGGTGAGGGCTTTGACGAGTGGGGATTTTTCTTCTTCTCTGGGATAAAATGGTACTTGTACTGGCGATGATTATTTTTATTATGATTATTGCTCTGAGGAAGCGAAATTCAAGAGCGAGTAATTATGGCTGATATAATATGTGGTGAAATAATGATGAATGAATGAATAAGGAGGAATGACTGGCCAAATGCCATCCATCAACTCGCAAGGAAAGTCAAGGCAAGGCAAGGCAAGACAAGACAGGCAGAATTCCATATTACCTACATACCCTGCGTTACCAAATTTCTGATCATCGAATCGATGTCAATGATTATTGATTAGCGACTTTCACTGGATGATAGCTTTTTCCATGGCAGTAATAAGAATATCATTTCCAGGGCAGCAGCCATACAAAAAAAAAAACTCGCACTTGCTAGGTTACGTTACTTCAGTCCAGTAAACTATTATAATTGTTATTACTATTACTGGTCATTACCACTGGTCATAGAAACGGGTGTTAATTAAGAAAAACAACCCCATGGGAAGAATGGTTAAATACATGGTACAGTAAAGACCCAGTAGGAAATAACTCAAATAATCCAATCTAGGTGCATGCCTCCTAATTGTCATCTATTAGATGGTCTTGCCAAGATCTTTCTTTTTGTTCTTAATTTTTTTCTTTTTTTTTGCTTAGCTTAGGATATAAAGTACTATACTGTACTGTACCTAGTATTCACAGTGTACAGCACATACCTGTCTAGGAAGAAATCCGGTCCCCTGCCGGTGTTTTCCAATCGCATGGGAACTTGAGTCCAGGGTCTATATATACTATATTGTACTATACTATATTGTATAGTAGGAGAGAAATTCATTCCCAACTATCTGTGCAGAAAGGTTCGAATTGCAAGGAGCAAGTGAGTAAGTACAGATCAGAGCGAACTAAGGGAATGCATATCCCAACCGGGTAACCATGCAGGCAGTGTACGACTTAGATATACCTGTAGGTATGTAACTATATAAAGATGAAGCCATGTGTAGTTAACCACATTATGTATGTGCAATTATGGACTCTGCTAGTTCGGGATGAGTAAGTACTAGGTTCTAACTCTGTATCTGCCTGACTAGTACTGCTTTCATTCCTTTTTTTTTTCTTCAAGGCAGGGAAAAAAAGAAGAAGAAGACGAAAGAGAAGGAGAGAAACAAAATTCAGGAATTTTGGAGTTGAGGAGGATGAAAACGATTTATGTAGCAACTAAATAGAGATACCATTGACTAGACTGACATGCGAAGATTAATGGAGGAACCATGAAGGATGCTCCAACTATGTACTGTACATACATACTATACATGACACGGATGATACTTACACGTGATGACTATGGATTGGATTAACCACGTGATCTGGCAATGGACTATCCAGACTCCACATCTGTTAATGTACAGTACAACCTTGTACCGCGACAATTCTATCTAGACCTGCTAAGCTTGATATATAGAATTTATGCTAGTAGTTCAGGCTAGGTTCCAAGTTATCTCATGAGACAGACAGTACTCGAATTTAACTATATCCAATAAACATGTCCAGTGTATATCTTCCAGAAAATCACGAGTCAAGATGAGAGAAGTGATATTTTTATATATACAGATTTTATGCACCTATTCTAATACCCCAATCCAGGCTGATTATGTGGAATCTAGATGCATGTCAGTTATTTATTTACTCTGGTAAAGACCTATCTCTACTGGCGTTGACAATCCACGTGACGATTGTGACGGTTCACAACGTGCTGACGAGTAGCATTATTCTACCTACCTAGTTACTAACTCAGGCATGGCTGCAGGTACGACTGTACATACAGTACATACCAAGAGAAGATGTCTCAGAATATACCCCGTAGAGATTAAGTCTAAGACAGATTAAATCTAAGACATGGACGGATACTACCTAGCTAACTAACTAGGTAAAATTTTTTTCTTTTTTTGTACTTGTTGTTGTTGTTGTCTCAAACTTTGAAGAGGATAAAAATTCTGACTATGCATATGCCTAGAGAAAAATTCTCGTGCCAAGGTAGTTAGTTGACTGACCAGGTCAATTTTGAGTATGTACAGCACAGGCACAGCCAGCACAGTGGAGACAGTACACTAAGTACATGAGGCTGAGTAACTGATGGAGCATGCCTTCGTCATGAAATAAAAGTCATAAATACTCCATATGGATTATGCACGAGTTTTGCATTATCATTGGCTAGACTGATTCTTACCGACCAGTGGATTCTTGCTACTATTCTAAGTATTCTTACTATTATGAATATGAAACATGACAGGAGCCGCAAGCTGCAGTCTCCAGTCTGGTCTGGATGTTGATCATGGTTACTGTGGTAGGAAATACGGTGAGGGTTGTCCCACTGTGGCATTGACAGTATGGAGTATTTACTGGGAGAGCTAAAAATAAACAAATAAATAAAACATGATATCACTGTAAGTCGACAGAGAGCCAAAAAATAATAATAATAAAAAAAAGAAACTAGATAGACAATAAAAAAATACAACGATCAGTAGTAGATGGTCAATATTTTGGTGTCTGATATAATGCATCTAGCCATCTCTATATATAGTAGACGTCGAGTCTTTATCTACCCTGGGTAATTTTATTAATCGATAGCTGATAGGCCAGTCCTCTGCCGCTGCCTTGGCGTGCCACACATGTCATCGACTTAGTCATTGTACTCTCGTATTGCATGAACTCTCAACAGCGCGCATAATTACTAATTCCACGTGAATAAGATTACAGTGAGACTAGCAGATACTTAGTAGGTGCTAGATAGATGGCTAGAAGGTTAGATAGGGTGCTGTGCTGTTCAATTCCGAGAATTACTGTAGGTAGGATGCAAGAGAAAGTTGATCGTAGGCACATGCGAGAAAGACGCATACAGACTCGTCGTCTGACGCTGACGAAGGCCTTTGACGTATACAAATATATAAATCAATCAATTAGAATATCAATGAATAAATATCAATTCATAAACGTATACCACGTTTACCCCATAAAGAAAATTAAGAAATCGGAGTTCCTGGCGTGGCCGCCGCGCCGTGGCGTGCAGCGACCCACGGGATTGGTCGGGGCGGGTCTGGACTCATTCGGGCTGGATTCTGTGCTGTTCGATCATATCCATGCTTCTTTTTTGGCCCGCCGGCAGGCCGGCATGGCGGCACCCTAGGAATAGTCTAGACGCGGACAGCGTGGCTTGGCATAGACATAAAAGAAAAAAAAAGAAGAAGAAGAAAAAAAAAAATTCCATCTCTACGGAGTACTCCGTATACATGGATACTCTGTACTCGTAGTCTTGGCAGGTTGAAACTGCCGAGGATAATTACTGCCGTGCCGTAATCCTATCCTACCTCCCTAGGTTACTCCCTCGGGTTATAAAAACAACCTTGCAATGTCACCCTGCCAGTCGCTGATCGCTAGCGCCTTGGCCACGGGCTTTTGTCTCACCCAGCCAGCACTTAACCACCCGTTCCATCGCCTTACAGCCAAGGGGCTGACTTCGCTGCAGTTCCACGAATGACGTGGTCGCTGGCCATTGCTGCGGGCCCCACCTGCAAGGCCAACCACGGAGCCCGGCAAGATAACCCAGGGGCAGATCACCAGCCAATCAGCGCCCCCGATAGCGCTGACACGCCGGCCAATCAGTGCCCGCGCTAGCCAGCAAACCGCCAGCCGAGAGATAAGCAGGCGGGTCGCGGCTTCCCCATCGATGCACCGTGGCTTCCTCGCTTGCCTCGCAGCCCTACGCGTTTGTTACGCTCGCCGTACCGTAATACTCGTACGCCCTCCGTCCTCATCAGCGCGTATACAACGACATCACAGAATCAGCTCGACGTCGCGCCAAATCCTACCGATCGTCTGGCTCGCGTACGGTGCACTGCCGCCGGGATGCCATTCCGGTCCTTCCGTCGAGGCTGAAGAGCTGCAGGGCTGTCACCTCACCCCTGCTATCGATGATGCTGATCTGCTGTTGATGGGCTGCGCCTCGCACAGAAACACCACTCGACATTGCTCTCGATTCTCCTTGCGCTGATTCCAGGTTGGACCGTCTATCACCACAGATCGGTGGATAGGATGCGAGGGCCGTCGATTGATATGTAGATCCAGGCATATCCGATGACGCAGCAGTGCTGTACCACACGTCCTTTTGTCGAGCAGTGCTGTCAGTTCAACATGTCAACACATCGTCCATCCCATGCGAACTGAAAAAAGTCCGATCCAATCACGGGTTGGGCTTATCAACTGTCATGCAAGGAGTATCAGCTTAGTGAGCCCATCACGGCCGCACGCGCGTCAAGAGGGAAGAGATAAGCAAAGGGATCATCAGAATAATATCGACGACGGGCAGGCAGCAAGGAAACGACCTAGGGCTATATATATATAGGATGTCCCTGACTGCCCCTCCTAACCTTAGATCCATGAGTCACTGGAAATCGGCTCCTGGACCGAATCCAGCAGAATGGATTTGCCCTCGTGACTTCGTCTCTCCATCGTACCTGCAATGAAGGTCATTGGAATCGATATTCCATAGGATACCGATTTTCCGAGAGGTACAGCCGGAAGAGCCACACCTGCGCCTCGTCTGATATAGTTCGACTGCCGCGGATAAGTCAGCAGTATCTGTATCTGTATCACCTCAGCAAACAGCCCTTTGTCAGCCAGCTGACAACTCAAGTCAGCGATACTTATTCTCAGCAATGCTTATTCTCCCGTGATACTCCGTACTCTGCACTGTCTCTGAATAAACCGTAGAGTACTAGATATTGAGATCGACCTCAACCTGGCGTATTTTCAAATGATACGTTTCACATCTCGCCTATGACAAATTGTCCTGCTGTGTCATGCAGCGTTTTGCTCGCCCGGCCGTTCCGGGCTGGCAACCGGCGGGTGGCGGCTGCTTACGCCATCGCCCATTGGCCGGCCCCTTTTGCAACCTGGATACTTCTCTTCAGATCCCTTGTCTGGTCACTTTTTTTTTCTTACGCTCCCCGTTGTCCTGCTTACTAGCGGCCTGTAAAGCCCTTGTAAGCCCTTGACAGCGGCTCCACTGGCTGCAAATATAGCACTGCGCTAACCCAATCGCCCTCGCTTGGCTTTCCCTGCCTCGTCCCCTCCCACCCCCAGCTTCCCAATCGCAAGGTCGTTTTCGATGCAGATGGATGCCCTTCGATGGAGGCTGGGACTTGGCCCCCCCTTTTGGTTTTGGGCCATGGAACTGGACGACACTCTGTGCCCTGCCAAAGGGGGCGACTAACCGGCTCCCGTCTCCAGTCTCCAGTCTCCAGACTGCTCTGAGAACGAAGGACAGATCCGACTGAAGCAGCCCTCGCGCTTTTCCCGCCTGGGTTGAGTCCCAAGTAGGTACCTGAACTGTCCCTTCGTATCAAGGTTCTCGGTGCTTGGCCCAGAGCTCGTCTGATCAATGGCCTTTTTTTCCTGCCGGCCCTGATTTCTTTCTTGACGGCATCCCGTTTCGCTTTCCCTCTCCACAACTCACCTCCTCTAACTTACCCTCTTCTCTCCTCTGCTCTTCCTATTATTCTCCCAAAGGGGACGAGAAAAAAGATAAAAAAAGAAGAAGAAGAAGAAGAAGGAGAAGGAGAAGAGATACCCTTCCCTCTCGTTTCCTCCACGCTCGTTGACACTTATCTTCCGCGCTCGTTGTCCCGCGTTCTTGGTGTTTTTTTTCCCTTGGTGTCCTATCTGTCGTTATCAGCACCCGGCCGGCGTCCTAACGAAAAGGCATTCTACGACTTTTTTTTTTTGTCACAAGCACCCTCTTAATCGACTCCCTAATACCCTCTAATCTACAGCACATGTTGTGTACATAGCTCGCTCGTTTTTTGCAGTGGCCGCTCACGATGAAGTGGGGGGTGGCAGGTGTCTTGCTGGCTCTCTTCGCGGCGACGTCGACAGCCTGGCCTTACGACAAGGACCTCACCAGCTATAATCTGAACCAGAATGAGACGGCGACCGATCCTCTCGACTACTGGGGGGAATGGCCCAACCACACCTACTTTCCGTCCCCGGACAACTGGCGCTTTCCCATCTACACCCTCTTCCTCGATCGCTTCGTCAATGGCGATCCCACAAACGACAACATCAACGGCACCGTCTGGGAGCATGATATCTCCTCGAATCAGATGCGCCATGGCGGTGACATCGTTGGGTTAGTCGACACGTTGGACTACCTCCAGGGCATGGGCTTCAAGGTATGTCGTGTCACGTGGATTGGCAGACGACGGTGTCGGTTTGAATCGAGCTGATAAGGTGAAAAAAAAAGGGCATCTATCTGGCAGGAACGATCCTGATGAACCAACCCTGGGGTTTCGATGGATACTCGGCCCTCGATACCACTCTTCTGGACCAGCATTATGGTGATATCGAGACGTGGAGATGGGCCATCACGGAGATCCACAACCGTGGTATGTACGTGATCTTTGACAACACGCTCGCAACGTAAGTCCCCTCCTTCTCCTTCTCTCTGATAGCGCCTTCTCTCATGTTTTTTTTTCTGTCGGTATGCAGGCTGGGTGACTTGATCGGCTTCGAGGGCCACATGAACGACACGGCTCCGTTTACGACCAAGGAGTATAAGGTGCAGTGGAAGTCGGATCGTCAATATGTCGATTTCCGTTTCGGCAATACGTACAACGATACTTGTGATTACCCTCGCTTCTGGAATGAGACGGGTTATCCGGTGGAAAGCTACGTCTACCAAGAGCTGGTCGGATGCTACGACAGTGAGTTTGATCAGTATGGTGACATCGAAGCCTTCGGTGTGTTCCCCGACTGGCAGCGTGAGCTGGCCAAGTTCGCGTCCGTGCAAGATCGTCTGCGTGAATGGGTTCCCTCGGTGCGTGCGAAGCTGATCCGCCACTCGTGCATGATCATCGCGTCCCTCGACATCGATGGCTTTCGCTATGACAAGGCCACCCAAGCCACGGTCGATGCCCTGGGCGACATGTCCGGGGCGTATCGCGAATGTGCTCGGAGATACGGCAAAGAGAATTTCTTCCTGCCCGGTGAAATCACCGGCGGTGACAACTTCGGTTCCATCTTCCTGGGTCGTGGCCGACAGCCCAACATGTTGCCCAAAACGATCCAAGATGCCGTCCAAATGTCCAATCTCTCCGCTCAGCAGTACTTCCTGCGTCCCGACGGTAAACAGGCCATCGACGCCGCTGCTTTCCACTATTCCATCTACCGTTCTTTGACCCGTTTCCTCGGTCTGGACGGCAACCTGGCCGCCGGTTACGACATCCCCGTCGACTGGGTCGCCGGCTGGAACCAGTCGCTGCTCTACAACGACCTGGTCAATGCCAACACCGGCAAGTACGATCCCCGTCACATGTATGGCACCACCAACCAGGACGTGTTCCGGTGGCCGGCCATCAAAAACGGCACCGCGAGGGCTCTCTTGGGCATGTTCGTCACGACCCTGCACCTCCCCGGCATCCCGCTCATCTTGTGGGGAGAAGAGCAAGGCTTCTATGTCCTGGACGCCACGGCCAACAACTACATCTATGGCCGTCAGGCCATGTCTCCGGCCACCGCATGGTGGATCCATGGCTGTTTCGCCCTCAACGTCAGCCAGTACTACCATTTCCCCGTCGATTCGGCTCTTCGCGGATGCGAGGATATCACCGTCACCTACGACCACCGTGATCCGGCCCATCCCATCCGCAATATCATGAAGCACATGTTTCAGATGCGGGAGAACTTCCCGGCCCTCAACGACGGTTGGTACCTGCAGACGCTGTCCAATCAGACGACCCAAGTCTTCTACCCGGGTTCCAACGGCACTCCGACGGAGACGGGTATGTGGTCCGTTCTGCGAGGCCGCTTTGAAGGGATCCAGGATCTGCAAGGCGGCGCTGGCAATCAGTCGGTCTGGCTGATCTATCAGAATGACAACCGGACCGTGAACTACAAGTTTGACTGCACGAACAACGACA